AATCATAGAACAGTGTCTTAGATGAAAATTTAGATTGTGGAAATTAGGAGCAAAAAAAGATAATGAATCACTATTAAGTTCAGGGAATATGCAAGGCGTATCGATGACTATTTTGTGTCTTATTTACGAAAAACCCATAATGTGTTTCTGTTAACTTAAACCTAAATGCATGTTCAGAATTAAAAAACAACAGGAAAAAGGAAAAGACTTGGGCCAGTTAAAATTAATACGGATTTACAGAATCTGATCATGAACTGGCAAAGGTTAATGTTTCTCCTAAGTATCTGAAAAATGCTCTGGAAAATATACAATCATGAACTTACCTTTGATATGTGATCTTTTCACTGGAAAATCTATGATTAGTATGTCAGAAATAAACATGGAACTTCTAATTTCTTCCTCCTTGAAACCATGCTAATAATGCTGAGACAGGTTTGAGGCATATTTATCAGGCTCTTTACTATTAGGAGAATGGTGAAAATAGTCGGCTTGACAGCATTCACCAAAACCAATCATGCTTTTGTACCAGTTTTGAATATTCTAAGATAGATGAGGCAAATAATCTTATCATTTGTTTGTTGCCTAAAAAATAAGGTAACTTTACCTTCAGTTTATGTTCCTGCTCTCTGCTTTACTTTCACATGAGTCACCCATAGGAAAAATGAGTTTTTTGAAGTCAGGAAACAAAAAAGGCAAGGCCATTAAACTAAAACTGTCATTGTACTATCTCCTACTTGATAACACATCTGAATTCTGAACATCTCCACCTGGGCCAAGATAACCCATTTCTAAGACCACACTTCACTCATAATGCAAATTAGCTTCCACCACACTTTCTTAAATTGGGCAGTCAAAAAGGTCTGTGCAGGTTGAGAGGGATGTTAACTCCACAGCTTGATGGCGTAGTGCAAGGTTCTAGAAGAGTATGTGGGACCTGAAAAACTGTTGGGGTTATTTTTATAAAACACAAACTCACCATAGTTTTCCTATGTAAATTGGGAGAAGGGTGATTATGAAAAGGCAGAAGGTAAAAAGGAGAACTAGCATAATCCACTAAACACGGAAATGTTCTTTACATCATTTTAACAAAGAATATACATGAGAATTGAGGATCTGGAAAGTTTTCTATGCCTGCATTTTCCTTGGAAGGTTGAAGACTCCAAGTTCACACACTCTTGTTTGAAGACCCAACTACAGGTTATACCTCCGTTCTTTAGTTATCTAAATATTTAAGCTGCATACTTAACTAAAAAATTTTCTAAGTTATATAGCATTTCTATGGAGGTAAAAATGTGTATTTTGTAACAATAAAAAGCAATTATTTTTCATATTAGAGAATGATCAATTCTTTCATTCAGCTAAACAAAGATAGACTAATAAGAGAAACAAACCAAATTATCAATGTTGCAAGAACTTTGATAACTGAATACACTATCAACTAGAGTCAAACAGTAATGCACCTTTCCTGAGGACAAAAAAAAAAAAAAAGTTTCTCTTAAGAAAGTCAGAAAAGGTCAGCTCTGGAAGTGGATGCTGGTAACTTGGCAAGAAAGAATTTCACATTTTGTTGTTTGATACTATACTTAGAGTGAAATAAAATGCACATAAACCATTAAAACTCTTACAATTTGTGTATCTTCCAAATACACTATGAATACATTGGCACAAGATCCTTCCTGACTTCCTTTTTCATCTTTGCCAATAATCCAGTGATCTCTAAGAGGTGGTTTAATAATTATTTCCAAATGCAATTTCCTAACGATAGTATTTCTTACCTATAAAGTTCATTAAGAGGTTTACAAAAGTATTCTACTTGCTCTAATTTTCATGACACATCATGACCTCAAGTCATCTGGGAAAGACAAGATGTTAGAGTATAAAGACATTTCCTTTAAAAAATTGGGGAAAATTACTAATTTACTATCTTTTTTAGAACAGGAGACAAGGCAGAGCAATACAGTAGTTATAATCAGAATGTCTGCATTCATTCACCAAATATTTATTAAGCACCTACTATTTCCCAGACATCATTCTAGCAGCTGAGGCTCTATAGGGGTGAATGAGAAAGTAATAGCTACCATTTATTGAGTGCTTACTATGTGCCAGGCTCTGGCCTAAGAGTTGCACACATAAACCCATTTAATCCTCAAACACAACACCTCTATGACATGGGTACTATTTTCATTTTACATATGAAAAAATTGAGGCATAGAGAAGTTAAATAACTCATCCAGCTATTAATTGGTAGAAATATCCCTGGCTGTCACAAAAGTTTCCATAAATCTAAACTCTTTCCCTTCTCCTTTTCTTCTTTGCCTCTGTGAGAACTAACAGAACGGAGTATGGGTCAAATAGGAGGTGTGACCATTTCATTTTTAGAGGTTTCTTTTTGGGAATGTTTAAGCAGATTTTTAAGTAGCTCTATCTTCATCATGTTGTGATCTCAAGATACCCAAAAAAACCTGAATGCTGGAAGACTTAGTTTTGCTTAAATAGTTAATGTAGGTACACACATGTAGCATCTCTTCCTCTGGAAAAACCACTTTTCTAATCCAGGCAGGCCTATACTGGGGCTGAAGATTATGGGACCCGGTCTCATTATAGGGGAGGTCCACAGTTCAAGCTAATTAGGCCTCACTGCCTTGGGCAGAGTGACTGGTTCAGGAGGACAGAAACATGATCCAGGCATGACAAACCTGTCTTTCTTGGGATGGACAGTGTTGGGAGATGTTCTCTTCACAAAGGAAGAAGTGATTTGACTGCTGGTATCCTACCTCTCCACAATATTCAAAGATGTTGAAAAATTTACATCCAGGACACTTCCATCTAACTATGCAAGAAATAGTCTATCACTGCCTTTTCCAGTAAAACGAGTATAAAAAGTATAAATACCCTTTAAGTGGGTTTCTGTGACTTTCAGTCAAGTTTCAATGCATTTGCAAAACCATTTACATAAACTATGCACAAAGAACAATGTTTATGATAAATAAGAATAGAATTCTTTTCTGTTCTCTTCCTTCATCCTTTCCCCTGTGAGTAAATATAGAACTGTCTCTGGCTCAAAGGATGGTTTATTTCATTTTCAATAGTAGTATGCAAAATATTTATCTATGAATTCTAAGCAAGTGATTACAGGCATTGTTTTAATAATTCTATTTCTGTAGCATATGACAAAACCACAGTATATCTAGAAAGACAAAAATGTTTTATTTTAAAACATTGGAAAACCATTGAAAGACAAATGTCCATTATATAACCATGAACGTTAAATATTTGGAAACTGTGAATCTTCTAAAATGTGGTAGGCACTTCCAAAGAGCTAAATGTTGCAAATTACTGTACTGTATGTCTTCTCTAATATCAACAATACTTGATATGATGAAAAGTACCAAGAAGACTCAACTAATTGTTATTCAAAGTCACCATCTTAGGGTTCAACTTAATGACAGGAGTCAAAGTTTTGTCCAAGATGTTCCTGACACATGAAGCTTCCGGGTGAATTTCAGAAATGTTTAACAAAAGTATCTTCCTTTTTTGCCTGTGAATGTTTGAGTATTGCTGTATTGTTGGTTAATATCCACTACAGATACTGGTTCTAGGCCAGCCCAAGGGTCTTCAAGCATTGAAGGCTTGAAATAACTTTCCAACTCATTAGACATTCTTTTTTCTCTACCACGCCCTGATCCAAATGGTGTAGATGTCCTTGGAGAACCCTTTAGAAAAAAAATCATCAGTTAAAAAAATGTTTTGTAGAGATAATTGGCACTTTTTTTTTTAAAAAAAAAAAAGCTAGTGGGGATCACATTGCTAGTTTAAAAGTCGTGTTTTGAACCCAAACATGTTCAACTGCAAAATCCATTCTTCCTTTAACCTAGTGTTTTGGTCTGTAAGAGTATTTAAGCCGGTCTGACATACCCATTTACTAATAACGGCATGCCAACGCTCAGCTCAAATACTTTTCAATTTCTATGTAGAAGCTTCGCAGAACTACCCATTGGTGATGAAATAAGCAACTGTGTTTCCATTTTTCCTCAAAATTTCCATCATTTTTTTCTGAACAGAAATTTAAAAAAAAAAAATCTTTTTTTTTTTTTTTCTTTTCCCTTCTTAACCCTACAGCTTCAAAATTTCAAGAACCTTTCCATCCTGTGCAATTTTATCTCCTTAGCTCTGGACTCAAAAAGGGGTCGGGGTTGGTTTAGCCCTATCGGAAGTTAGAAAACCGTGCGAGCTTGTTGAACCACAGACCTCCTAGCCACACCAGAAATAGCCCTCGGTCTCCAGGAGAACCAGAATCTTACAAAATCAACGATCTTCCCTTAGGAAAACTTGAGAAGCAGCCAGTGTAGTTTGAAGCTCTCCCCCCACCCCCTCCGCCCCTCGCCCCCGCCGCGGTTCTATTAGTAGGGAAACGGCACCAGGGTCTGTCTGTCTGTCACCACGTAACTCCGGTGAGCTCTCTGCTGGGGATGCTTTCGCTTTCTTATCCCTCGGAGAATAATTTACTCAAACGAACGGGCCGGGCCCCCGGCAGAGGACAGTGTGTGAACGGCAGTGCACGAGTCCAAAGCAGGAGGGCTCTGCAGACAGGAAGCACAGGGCAGCCCGGAGGGCCCAGCGCGTTAGCGCCGCCTTCAGCCCGGGGCGTGACCCCGGAGACCCGGGATCGAGTCCCACGTCGGGCTCCCTGCGTGGAGCCTGCTCCTCCCTCTGCCTGTGTCTCTGCCTGTGTGTGTGTGTGTGTGTGTGTGTCTCATGAATAAATAAATAAAATCTTTAAAAAAAAAAAAACAAGGAAAAAAAAACCACCTCAGAAAGTACTGAAGGTAACCTAAGTTACTTAACTTCTCTCTCAGCCTCAGTTTACTCATCTGCAAAACAGGGCCAACAATAGTATCTCACCTCATAGAGGATTAGACAAAATAATCCATGGAGAGGGATTATTATTAGTACCATGCCTGCCATACAGTAAGAGCTCGGCAAACGCTGGCTATTATTACCTGGGGGTGGGTCTGCTGCTGCCCTGGGGAGTAGCCGAATTGCTGCTGGGACCCCGCGGGGGACTTGGAGTAGGAGCCAGGGTAGCCGCCAGGGGACGGAGACCCGAATCGGCCCCCCGGGAAGCTGCCGCCGTGTCGCGGAGAGTGGCCGCTCCCGTAGGGCCTAGACCGGGGCCCGTACGGCGGCGTGTGGTGCGGACTCCCGTACCCGTCCCGAGGGGAGGGCGGCCGCGGTCCGCCTCCGCCCGGGGCACCCCGGAAGCCGCTCCCGCTACCCCAACCTCCTACACCCGCGCCGGGGTAGGGAGGAGTCGGGGGTCGAAGGTTCTGCCGGTGCATGTCAGGAGACGGAGACCAAGCCCTCAGCGCCGCGCTCTCCCGCCGGAACTGTCCCGACCAACCCTTCTCAGAGGCTCGGCGGTCCGCTGCCGACACGGTCCCCCGGCCTCCAGCGCAGCACAGCATCTTGGTTCCGGCGGCACAAGGGTTCCGTCGGGCGCACTGGAGAAGCGGGTTACTGATCCGGATAGCGACCGGTTGGACTTAACGGCAAGAGGAAGAAGAAGGACGAGAGGGAGGCCGAGCAGTCGGCTCCGGCAAAGGCCCTCAGGGCCCCGCGGGGCTTGCTCGGGCCCGGCCGACTGGGGCCCGGAACGCAGCGCGCTGCGGGGCCGGCGCGGCGCGGCCAGGAGGCGGGGGGCGGAGCCTGAGGGGCCCGCGGGCGCCCCTGCGGCGGCGGCGGCGGCGGCGGCGGCGGCGGGCGGGCGGTGCGCGCTCGCTCTGCTGGCGCCGCGAGGGGAGAGGCGGCGAGGCGCGCGATGCTGGCGGCGGCGGCGAGGCTCGCGGCGCTGCGGGGAACCTGCCTGCTCTCCGGCCCGGGCGGCGGGCGGGGCTTGCGGAGCGGCCGCGCGCGCTCAGGTACCCCGGGGACGCGGGCCGGGCGGCGCCGTGGGGCGGGCACCCGCGCGTCCCGAAGCCTGTCCGCGCCCCGCGCCCCGCGCCCCGCGCCCCGCGCCCCGCGGCCGCCCTCTGGCCGTGCCCGCCCCTCGCGCTCCGGGGTCGGCGAGCCCGCCGGGGGCCGCGGGGCTCGGCGGGGGGCGGGGTCGGGGTCGCGGTCGCGGTCGGGGTCGCGGTCGCCCCCGCCCCGGCGCTGGCCCTGCCCCCGACCCTTGCCCCGAGCCCACAGAACTTTGAGAAGGTACATGCAGCCGCATTTCGGGAGGGATTTCAGAGCCCAGCTCCCCGGCGCGGAGACGCCTGTCGGACTTTACTCCTTGCACGCTCTGGGTGAATGCAAGCGGCGGGGGAGGTGGCTCCGAGGCACAGATGCTGACTTTTATGTTAAAGGGTTTGTCTATTTATGTATTCATGCGTGAGACACACAGAGACGCGGGCAGAGGGAGAAGCGGGCTCCACGCAGGGAGCCCGATGCAGGACTCGAGGCCAGGACCCCGGGGTCACGCCCTGGGCCGAAGGCAGGTGCTACACCGCTGAGCCACCCGGGCATCCCAAACTAATGCATTTGTTTTAGACATTTTATTTATTTATTCATGGGAGACACACACACAGAGGGGCAGAGACACAGGCAGAGGGAGAAGCAGGATCCCTGCGGGGAGCCCGATGCAGGACTCGATTCCGGGACCCCGGGGTCACGTCCTGGGCCGAAGGCAGGTGCTACACCGCTGAGCCACCCGGGCATCCCAAACTAATGCATTTTTTTTGACATTTTATTTATTTATTCATGAGAGACACACACACAGAGGGGCAGAGACACGGGCAGAGGGAGAAGCAGGATCCCTGCGGGGAGCCCGATGCAGGACTCGATTCCGGGACCCCGGGGTCACGTCCTGGGCCGAAGGCAGGTGCTACACCGCTGAGCCACCGGGGCATGCGAAATTAATGCATTAAAAAAATTATTTATTCATTCATGAGAGTCACACAGAGAGAGAGAGAGAGACATACACAGGCAGAGGGAGAAGCAGGCTCTACGCGGGGAGCCCGCTGCGGGCCTCGATCCCGGGACCCCGGGGTCACGCCCTGGGCCAAAGGCTCCACCGCTGAAGCCCCCCGCCCCCCCGCCCCCAGGTGCTCAGATGCAGATTTTCAATGAGTACGCTTGGACCAATAGCTGTGAAAATCTTGACTATTTCCACAAAGTTTGTTATTATTGAACAATGTGCCAGTTCCAGCGTGACACCTGATGGCAAATAAAACATGCTCTTGTACCAGACACCTGTCCCAGAATTTGATTTAGAAGTCGTGGTTTGGGTTTGAATCATCTGGCGTCGTATAGAACTCTCTTTCCTCAGAGTTTGGGAGCCAGAGTCCATTGTGACTCCTGACATCAGCACCTGGGGGGATTCAGGAGATCGCAGCCCCGGGGAGGCCGGGCGTGCACCTGGCAGCTGCCCCTCCCTGCACGCCATCTCTGACAGGCTGGGTCAAAATTTAATAGAGAAAAATTAAGTTTTAATTTGTCTGATCATTTTTGCAATTGCATTTGATATATTTTAATAACTGATTTTACTACATCACAATTAAACAATAAGCCTCTCAAATCCACATGTAGAAATAAAATTCGTGAGTGAGAAAGTCAATTCAAGATCCCTGGTCTGTATTTTTAGGAAAAAATGGTAATAGTTTTAGAAAGTAAACTAAGTGTTGTTACTCTTAGTACGAATCTTGTATTTATTTATCATTTGAATTTTTTTTTTAAAAATGATTTCTATGTGGAGATAGGGCAGAAAGTTTTAGTATTATCTTAGATATTTTCCTTATTTCAAATATGTATTTTCCTAAATGACTCTTTTACTTGCATTCCTTCCTTAACAGAATTATAGACATTTGATAAGACTGGCTGAAGGCTGAGACTGGTGTCTCCTCAGCTTCTGCCCTCCATGAGGAGTGGAGACACCAATGGCTTTTTTAGTTATTTATTCTGAGGGAGTTCTTCTGTTCTCCCAATTTCTCCTTCAGGCACAAATTGTAGAATTAAGTCAGGTTGATGCCATTAAGGCTTTAGTGATGCAGTTAAGGCATGAGGACCCCAGATAATCCACTTTAGGATGTATTTTTGGCTTGGCCAAAAATTTAGCTTTTGGGTCTTGTCTGGGTGTTTAGCTTAATGCCTGGTAACTGGGCCCTCAGATATTTATAGAATAAGCTGTTGGGTGGGTCACATCATTATCAGTCTGTGGTTCTCACTTATTTTACTTTTTCTATCATTAACCAGTCCACTTTTGGGGGAAGAGGGAGCACAAAACGAGGGCAATGGGAACCAAAATTACCTTTATTAATTTTTTTTAATAATTGGCAAATGCTTTGCAGAATTGATTAAAATACTGTATATTGTCTTTTTACTTGGCTTACACCTGGAGAATGTTCCCTGTAGTGATGTCTTCCTGTCTTCTACACATAGGAACTTGCAATAGAAATAGGGGAGGGAGGGGCACCTGGGTGGTTCAGCGGTTGAGCCTCTGCCTTCAGCCCAGGTGGTGACTCCGGGGTCCTGGGATCGAGTTCCACATCTGGCACCCTGCATGGTGCCTGCTTCTCCCTCTGCCTGTGTCTCTGCCTCTCTCTCTCTCTCTTTCTCTCTCTCTCTCTGTCTCTCATGAATAAATAAATAAGATCTTAGAAAAAATTAGGGGAGGAAAAGAAGTACAGTGAGAATTTTTGACGGGTAGATTATACATGACAGTGTGCCCTTCATCAAGTTTGCAAGTATATATGAGGGTTGAGGGACAGTTAATAATTATATGAAAACTCCAGATTCCACTTGGATCACTTCTTGGAATAGGCCATATGCCTTTTTAGAGATGAGAAATAGCCAAGAGAAGTTAAGTGACTTGCTTAAGTTCACATAACAAGCAGAGGTGCAAGCAGAACTCAGATTTCTTTAATCCCGGGAAATATATATATTTTTTGAAATCTAAATAAAGATGATGAATTGACAAGCTGTCCTTTAAACAATTCCATAGATAAGTGAACATTGAAAAATGTTGAGAATGCTGTGTTGCTTATTGTTCTAGATTTAGCAATTAGTACATACAACCTCAATATTGAATTTTTATAAATGTAGCTAGAATCTTCCCAGGTGTTAGCATGGGGATTGCAGTCTGAGTGCCTGCACTGGTGGGTCTGAGGCATCTATCTATTTGTATTGAATTTATTTTTATGGTCATGAGTTCAGGGGAAGAGAGGTGAGGGGGAGGGGAGGAAGTTTTATGTTGTGTTACCTGGAGGTAGAAACATGAGGACCTGGGGTGATGGATATGAGACCATGGTGGCTGCCCTCTGAAGTCTGAGTCCTGTGGAGAGAAAAGGGCAATTCTTATTTTTGTGAACAACAGAAGTTTTGGTCCCACCTTTCCCCATGGGCTCCCCCCCTCCCCCAAGAGAATTAGAGCACTGTTTAGGGAGGATTAGCACTGGAAACAGGATACTGAATAGGGCAGTGCTTTCTTGGAAGACACTATTAGTGTCTAGGTACTTTTTTCAAGTGGCATTGTATACATAGGACATCAACAGATGGAACGTCAAGAACTTTCTGAGTATCTGTGAGCTATATGGGGAGCCCCAGAAATAATTGGTTAACTTTGTGGTGGTGTGTTATTTTATAGGTTTCACATTAATGCAAGTAAGAGAACCAAGCCAAGGAAATTTAAGACAAGATTTTTATTTAGGTTGCCTAAGATATTTTGGTGGGTTTTTTTTTTTTCCTAGTGGATTTCAAATTTTTTTTAAGATTTTAATTATTTATTTGACAGAGAGAGAGAGAGAGAGAGAGAGAGAGAGAGAGCACAAGTAGTCAGAGCAGCAGGCAGAGGGAGAGGGAGAACCCGGCCCTCCGCTGAGCAGAGAGCCCAATGCAGGGCCTGGGATCATGACCTGAGCTGAAGGCAGATGCCCAACCGACTGAGCCACCCGGGTGCCCCCCCAATTTTTTTTTTGATGGTTAGCATTTTTTAGCAATATTTAAATTTATTATTAATTTATTTTTAAAATTTAAATTCAATTAACATCTAGTGTATTATCAGTTTCAAAGGTATTGTTCAGGGATTCATCAGTTTTATATAATACCCGTGCTCATCACATCACATGCCCTTCTTAATGTCCATCACCCGGTTACCCCATCCCACCTCCCATGGCCCTTCCAGCAACCCTGTTTGTTTCTTTTTTTCTTTCTTTTTTTTTTCTGTTTGTTTCTTATGATTAAGAGTCTCATGTTTTGTCTACCATCCTGATTTAATCTTATTTTATTTATCTCTCCCTTCCCTATGCTCCTGTTCTTTTCCTTAAATTCCACATGAGTGAAGTCATACGATAATTGTCTTTTCTCTGATTGACTTATTTAGCTTAGCATAATACCCTCTAGTTCCATTCACATCATTATAAATGGCTTTTTTTTTTTTTTGGTAGAGCCTTATCTTCAAAAAAACATAATTAGAAGCCAAAATTATGAGAGCGGATGGGCTGTATCTGAAGCAGGATTTGGGGTTTCAGAGCCCTGCTCACTCTGCACCTCTAAATGCCCCCCTGAAAAGAGGCTTCTGGGGCACCTCTGAGGAATTCCCAAGGCTCTCCAGAGGGGTGTGAAAGCCAATATTTTAGGAGGTGTTGGATATTAACAAGGGCTGCAAAAATAAATATTTTGGTTTGCTTTACTTTGTATTATC